GAAGTGTACGAGCACGACGTCATCGAGATGCGGAGAGTTCCAGCGGTTGCGTGAGCAATCCGTGAAGGGATCCACGAAGAACAGCTCCTCTATCGTGTGCGTGTGCGTGTGCGGTGGTGCGTGTGCGTGTGCGTGTGCGTGTGGGTGTGGGTGTGCGTGTGCGTGTGCGGCACATAGAATGGTGAGGTCGAGAGGTGAGCCAAAGTGGGGGGAGGGGGCTGACCGGTGATGGTGTGCATGTGGTTCTGGTCGAAGAACTCGATCTGGCGGCGCCGCTCGGCCGAAGCTTCGTGGGTGGTCGGTAGAGGCTTGTGGACGCTCGTGGCGTAGAGCGTGCGGGCGAGGAACTCGCCCAAGTGCTCCGCGGCTCGCGGGTACTCCCTACCCTCCACCACACCTGCGCGCTCCTCCGCACACGCGCACACACGCAGCACCGCACACGCACCCGCACCGCCGCACACATACGACACACCGGCGATGAGAGAAGCGGGTCGAGCGGTGCCAGGCGAGCGGCAGAGAGGGTGTACCGCGGCGGAGGATGATGTGCGGGGAGAGGTAGGACATGGCGAAGGCGAAGAGGGCGGGGTCGTAGTGGATGGGCGTCGGCACCCGGCCCGCGGCGTGGCGGTGCTGCTCCGACAGGCCCTCCCACTCAAACCACGCCCGACGCGCAGACAACGGCCAGCCCTCGCCCACGCACCGCACGTAGGGCAGAGCCTGGTCGCATGTTTTTTATTAATTGTTTTAAACATATTTAGTATTGAGATCATTAATCAATACAATAAAAGAAAAGAAAGAAAGTAAACCTGCTTGACCACGAGGGCGCCGTGGGGACCCTGCACGATGAAGACGAGGTTGAGGTTGCCGTCGCCCACCTCGGCCACGGACCACTCATTCGGTCCCGACCCGCCCATTAGCTCGCGGGCCACTGCCAGGCGCCACAGCCAGCGTGCGGCACTCTCCTCCGTCAGCACCTCGTAGCCGCTGCCGCTCTCCTCCACCTTGTCCATCTTCTTGTGTAGTGCTCAGTACACGAATTGTGAGCTTTGCGAGGCTTTGTGCACAAATCGTGCAGACAAACAGCTTCTGCTAGCAGGTCATGAAGATGGTGGTGTTGATGGTTGTATGTGGCAGAGAAAGAGGAACAAAGATACAAAGGGGTCTTTGGTGGTCTGGAGTTGATGAGAGAGAGGGTGGGGTTGGGGTTGAGGTGGTGGGCTCATGATTCACTACAACTACTACTCTGCCGCTACTCGACGGCCTGGTAGCCGAGGGAGACCTGATCCCTGTCGTGAGCGATGAACATTGGCTCGTAGGGCGAGCCCGGGCATGGCCGCTTGAGGTTGAGCTCCTTGTTGTAGCGCTTGATCAACGCGTCCAACGACGGGCACTCCACCTGTCATACACACCACGAAAAACTCTGCTCAGCACACGCACACACACGCACCCCCCGCACACGCACACGCACCACCGCACACGCACACGCACACACGAGGGCGTACCTTGCCGATGGCGTAGGGAGAGCCTGGGGAGTGGGTGATGCGGTAGTGCTTGAGGGCGCCCTTGCCGTCGACGACGGTGAGCGCGTAGCAGCCGAGGTCGCGGCTGGAGAAGCGGAGGAGGAAGGTGCCCTTCTTCTCGCCGCCCATGCGTCGCTCGGCCTCCTGCGACGAGATCTCGCCGTGGAAGTAGCGCTCCCGCAGCAGATCGTGGATGCGGTCGAGCACGCTGGGCTCGGCCAGCGGGCCGAACCAGTGGAGCATCTTGGCGAAGGACTCGAGCGAGACCTGCTGCTCGTCGCGCGGGTCGGCCGCCACGCGTCGCAGGCACTGCCACTTGATGTCGCGCGGGTCCTTGGGCAGCGGCACGCGAATGACTTCGCTGAAGGCCTCGGCGAAGGCGCGCCAGCTGACCGTGGTCATGCCCAGGAAGCGGTCACGCCACAGCTGGCGCGCCATGGGATCGGGGAGGAGGCCGTCGATGATGATGTAGTCGAACCGCGGGATGATCTCCTCGAACGACGGGCGCTGGTCCATGTCCCCGTGCCAGCACGCGTTGATGAGGTCGCGCAGCGACAGGGGGATGTCGCGCGGGAGCACTGGTCGCCGCGCGTCGACGCACACCGCCTCCACCAGCTCGGCCAGCGACTCGATCTCCGCCCACGGGTCCTGCCCCGACAGGATCTCCCACAGCACTATGCCGAACGAGTACTGCGCACACCGAATCGCGTGATTAAATTACAAAAAAATTCAAAAAAATCAAAGAAAACAGGAAATGATAATAATACAGAAGAGGTGACGTACGACGTCGGCCTTTTCGTTGTACTCCTTGTTCATCAGCACCTCGGGCGCCATCCAGAGCGGCGTGCCGATGGGACCGTGCTTCTCCTTCTTCGCCGCGGCGTCCTTCTTGACCACGCTCAGACCGAAATCGGCCACCTTGACCGTCCAGTTCCTGTCCACCAGCAAATTGGCCGCCTGTCACGCAGAGGCGCACGTCAGCCCACATCGCACGACGAGTAGTCCACGTGTCCCGCCTCCCCGAAGATGCCGGCTTCACGACACGACACGACACGACACGACACGCACCACGCACGACACACAGAAGAGAAGAATACCTTGAGATCGAGATGGAGGAACTGGGGCTTGGATCGATGGAGCCAATTGACGCCGAGGGCGGCGTCCTTGGCGAAGAGCATCTTCCGCTTGAGCGACAGCTTGAGGCTCCGATCGCGCAGCAGGTCGTACACGGACCCGCGCGGCATGAGCTCGGTGACGATGAGCAGATTGCCCGGCTGCGTGCACGCGCCCATGAAGAGCAGCACGTTCGGATGCCGGAGAGTCGACATGATCGCCACCTCCTTCCTGAAGTCGTCCTGCACACCATCATCATCACCAACCAGTCAGCTTCCGTGTGTGTTGTGTGTGTGTCGCAAGGGGGGACGCACCAGGGTTTTGTCGTCAAACTTTTGTGTGGAGAGTTTCTTCACGGCGACGGGCTTGCCGTGGAGTTCAGCCTTGAAGACGGTACCGAACGAACCCGTGCCCAGCGACGTGCCCGGGTTCTTGATGAGCAACGGGTCGATTTCCCATCGCTCCAGTCCTCCCGTCACACCGCCTCGGCCGTCCACCGCCCCGAGCCTATGGTTGCCCCGAAAAAAAAAGCTCAGCAACTGCTGACAGACCGACACGCACACGCACACACGCACCACCGCACACGCACACGCACACGCATACGACACGGCACGAGACAGCAACACAACGCGAGAGTGGTCAGGCAAAGTACCGCATCGAAGCGGTGCCGGAGGGCATGGGGCCGGCCGTGGTCGCCGTGAGAATGGGGTCTGGTCGCATAGACCGGTCGAAGGCGTGCGACGCCGCCATAGAGTCCGCGTGGAACACCGCCGTCGCCGATAGACTGGTACCTGTCGAGAGCGAACGAGGCGGGTGAGCGACCAGAGGCAGGGACGTGAATGAAAGATCGTCGTGTCGGGTGGTGACGAGTGTGGACAAGTACCGGCGAGGCTGCCGGCCATGGGCAGGTTGGGCTGCGGCAGAGTGCAGAGCCCCTCGGGGAGCGCCCACAAGCACAGCGTCTTGTCGTACGAGGCCGACACCAGCAGCCAGCCGTGCATGCCGGGTCGGCGGCGGCAAGGAATAAGCAGCAAGCTGATGAAGGGGGAGAGAGGTGCGGCCCCGATGTGTGAGAGAGTGGGCTTGTGCAGCGCGATCGTTGTACGTGGTTTGGATGGGGGGGGAGCTACCTAGAGACGGCGTCCGTGTGATAGCCGCACAAGCGCGCGCCCAGCTCAAGGTCTGATTCCCATACCGCGATGGACTGTGGAACAGTGCGTGCGTGAGTCAGCTCGGTGTGCTCATTCATGTGGGCACGGGAGAAGGCTGGACGATAGTTCGCACCTTATCCCACGACGCTGACCACAGGTGCTGGCCCGACCACGCCAGGCCGTACACGAGCCCTGTGTGTTGTTTGCCCTGGACGACCAGCTGTCGTCAGCTCGCGCAGCGATGGAAGCGAAATCGCGTGTGGAGGTACGCGTACCTTGCATACGCGAGTGGTGGTATCAGTCTGCCAGGCGGACACGGCGCGGTCGTCGGACGAGGTGTAGACGTAGTCCTTTCCCGCCACCACGTCGTTCACCTTCCTCGAGTGCGCCTCGAACTCCTTCTCCATTTTGAAGGTCTGCAGCGAAAAAAAGAAAAGTAAGCGGCAGCCAGGGAAAGGGCCAGATCTGGAGATGTGGGCATCTACCTTGGTGTTGAATATGCGGATCTTTTTGTCGTTGCACGCGGCCCAAATCTGGCCGTCGACCTGGGTCATGGCGAGCACGAAGGCGTCGATGTTGATTTCCCGGTGGACGTCGAGCTTGCTCGCATTCCACACCTTGAGCTTGGCATCACCGCTCGTCCACACGTGCACCGTGTTCCCTTGCACTGCAGCGCATTCGTCGAATGAAGTGAGCCAACGGAACGGAAAGGCGAGACAAGACAAAGAGGGGAGCGTCGGTACCGATGGGGCAGATGGAGTAGACTGCGCCCGGGGCCTCCTTGACCAGCACGCCTCGTGCGTCCCTAATCTGGAGGGACCTCTCCGCCCCAGTCCACACGTGCGGGCCCACCGCTTTGATCGAAAAAATGCGACCCTAAGCAGAGAAACACAACCGAGCGGGTCAGCGGGCGGACGTTCATACAATGCGCCCGGCGCGGATGCGAGTGATACCTGGCCAGAGTCGAGCTGTCGCAGGAAGCGCAGGTCCTCGCCTTCCCACACGCGTATGCTACCCGCCGAGTCGCCCGACCACACGTGCCACTTGTCGCCGCCCCACACGCGCTCCACAGCGCCGATTGACTTGTGGTGGCCGGTCATCTATAGATAGAGATATGTGGCACAACCCGCGACATTCACACGAAGCGACGTGTGAGCGACTTGCCATCAGTGGGGGCGGGAGGGGGTGGCAGGCGCGGCACGCACCTTGCGCAGAAAGCGGCCGTATTTGCGGGTGGCAGGTTTGGCGCTGCAGTGGTCCTCCTCCTCGGCCTCGAAGAGAAGGCCGTAGTTGACGATCATGAGCGCCACGAGATCGTTCATCCGCACCTGCCAGTCCAGCGCACCGGCGGCCGGGTGTCCGGTCGGCGCCCACTGCATGTGCGGCGCAAACAGGGAGGCCAGCTGCTGTGCGTCCATTCGCGTTTTCTGTTTCGCGTCGGCCGACGTGAGGCGCAGACGTGAGTTGTTGAGTCAAAGGCGAGACAAAGGAAAGTGGTTAAGGAGTACCTCGAAGTTGAGGTGGACCATGTGAAGGAGCCGCGTGAGTTCGGCCAGGACGGCGCGGTTGGCCGGCGGCAAGGCGGCGACGAGACGTGCCACCTCCTGCACCCGCTCCACCCCGTCGCGGATCTCGGACGCCTTCGTCCAGCGCTCGAACTGCGCCGCCGTCAGCAGCGGATCTGGCAGCCTGTGCGCAGTGATGATCCAAGCCGTGTGCATGTCAGTGCCTAGCGCTGGTTGTGTGTGTGTGTGTGTGTGTGTGTGTGTGTGTGTGTGTGTGTACCGGCGGAGGAAGGTCTTGAGAAGGGACGAGACGGTGTTGACGTCCTCGACCTTGGTGAAGTCGATCGCCTCGCCGCTGTTGATCTCCTCCTGGAAGCGCTGCACCTCGGGTCCGGAGCCCGCCGCCTTGAATATGCCCACCAGCGGCAGTCCTGGAAAGAAGAATCGCCAGCGACCAGGCCTCAGGTCAGTCGTGTGTGTGTGCATGAACCGAGAGAGTGAGTGCGGTCAAGGAGAGAGGAGGTCGGCACCATAGGCGGTAAGATAGGTGAGGGCCTTCTTGACGAAGAGGGGCACTTGCAGCCATGGCCGCGCCTCTCGGTCCCGCGCCAGGAGCTCCTCCAGCGCCACCCCGAAAACGCCTGCACTTGCCTCGCCGCCAGCGCCTACGGCCCCGTTGGTCTGCCGTTGTCGTCCCAGCGAGGGGCCATCACCAGAGGGCCTCTGCACGCAACACACACACACCCGAGAGTTGATATTAACATCTGAATTCTGCCTTCAGAGTTGCACCCATCCAGATGTGGGGTGCTCTCGGGCCGTGGTATGCTGGCCTTGATGCTTATAAATGAAGCTGCCGAATTCGCACAATTTCCGGCGGGGGGGGGCATACCGATGAGGGATCCATTGCTGTGAATGCCAAGAGGAAGAGAAGGAGGGAATAAATAGTTCGAACGAGATCAAGCGAAAGGTGTGCAAAGAGCCGCAATCCAAGACTATATTCCTGGGAATGCACCGAGCGAGTTCGTCCTCGCCGCAACCAAAATAAAATAAGACCACCAAATTTCTCGTCTTGCGGCACCCCGAGAACATTTCTTTTCAATTTTTTTTCGCTTTTTCCTTCTTTCTATTTCCCTCGTGTCACTTACCAAACCAGGTAATGGCGACGCTAACGGTGCACACCGGTGGGCCTGAGCTGTGGGGGGGGGGGCTCTTCAAAGCTCCACACAAGGGAACAGTCCTTGAGACACAACAGGGAAAGCCTGGAAAGAGTGTGGAAGGAGTGGAGGTGGAGAGGTGAGACACCAAGAGGTTACTGATTGATCACTTCAGCAAGAGCGAGAGGACAGGCGACGATAAGACGAGATGTCTAGGATCCAACCGAGGGTGAATAACAATAACGGCAAGCCGCCTCCCCTCCCCACTACAACTACCACGGCCTGGGGAGGGGGCAGCCGGATACAAACGAAGAAGAAGATGGAGCCCAGTACACCACCGCCGGTCTCACCCAAAGGCGACGAGGAGAGCGTGGACGAGAACATGCATGAGGAAGGTACCGAACCGGCTCCATTTTATTTCCCCTCCATTAGCGATTGAACCAAGCTCTCGTGCTCCCCACGCACTACAAACGCAACAGAGGGCGCCATCCCCGACGTCGCATCCAGCGAGGGGGTCACTCCACGCAGCCCAGACGCAACGGAAGGTTTGATACCAGACGTAGAAGGTACTTTGCCCCATCTACACGCCATTAATAGATTGCCCCCCCCCCGAATTCAATCTGAAAATCGCGTGGGAGTAGATGACGATCCGGAAGACGACATGGGCGACCCATTGGATTCAGCGCGAGGCCGGGAGAGGGAAAGAGAGAGACAGCGAGAGAAGGAAAAGGCCAAGGAGGAAGAGAGCAGAAGGGAGAAGGAGAAGCGGAACAAGTGCAGGAAGAAGAGTTCGCAGAAGAGCATCGAGGAGCTAGAGCGACAGAGCGTGAAGTCCCCACGCGCCAGCGCCGACGACCACAACACGACGCCCAGGTCGTCTCGGCGGGAGAAGCGGAGCGACAAGACCAGCGGAGCTGACGACAAGAAGGGGAAGAAGGGCAGCAACAAGGGGAGCAACAAGGAAGATACACACACCAACGGCAGCGATGACAAGCCCAAACGAAAGAAGGGCTCGTTTTTCCAGCGCAGGAACGACGACACGACGACGCAGGCCAAGCTCAGCGCCAGCCAGACGCAGAGCCTCAGGACGGGCGGCGGCGGCGCCGATGTGCTCGACGTCGACGACGGGAGCCGCCGAAACACGATCGCCGGCTACCGGCCCGACGACAAGAAGGCGCGGGATCGAAACGGCGGCGACGACGAAGACGAAGACGATTCGAGTGACAACGATGGTGGCATCGGTCGCGGGCTGCAGAGGAGATACGCGCTCCAGGACATATTCGTACCGAACCACTCCCAAATCGCAATCACATCACTTTCGAATGTGTGCGAGCTAGGCGCCGAGTTGCTGACTATGAGTGTGTGGTGCGTTGTTCAACCTCAGGACTATCACATCTTGTCGGTGGAGGCGATCGAGGCGCGCTTCCGCACGAGCATCCAACAGGGACTCTCCACCATGGACGCCGAGCAGAAGCTGGGCCGCAACGGGCCGAATCATCCGACGGTCAAGAGCCCCACGCTCGACATCGACGAGTTCGCCACGAAGAAGGTGTTGGTCAGGCGTGATGGCTATCGCAAGGCTATCGAGTCCCGAGAACTGGTCGTCGGGTACGCCTGAATGCCCTCTCGTCTCTGCCCTGTCTGTCAGTGCCTCGGAGGCGAGCGATACTAACGCGGCCGCCTTGCTTGACTTGATCGCCCCCGCGCAGGGACGTGGTGACTCTGGAGACGGGGCCGGTCTTTGCCGACATGCGGGTGGTGGGCATCAACACGGTCGACTTGCTCGTCGACAATTCGATGATCACTGGCGACCCCGAGCCCATTCCACGCCAGGTACGCTTGCTTGGTGCCCATTCAGTTGTCCTTTATCTCTTATTCTCGTGCTCACATGATGATGGCAGGTGGACATGACGACAGAGAACTACCTGGCGAGCGAGAATCTCATCTTCTATGGCACCTCCATAGTCGATGGCGAGGGAACGGGCATCGTCGTCCGCACGGGTAAGCACCCACACAAAGCCACGCGCGCCGGCGAGTCAGTTGGCTGATCTTGATGGGGGCGCATCCACGCGGGAACGCAGGTGATGGTACGCTGCTGGCGCGAATGATCAAGGACAACGAGAGCGCCAAGCTGAGAAAGGAGGGCGGACCCAAGGCCAAGAAGCCCATCATGAAGCAGCTCGCCAAGAACGGCCTCCTCTTCAAGGAACCCAACGCTGGTATGCATACCATGGCCTCCCCGCACAACATTCCAATGTAGTTGGTATGCCACGTGCTCACATTCTGCACGACCCACCCACCCAGCGAGCCGCTTGGGCCGAGTGACGACTCTGGTAGTGGACGCCGCCGGTGTGCTCACGGAGAACAAGAGCTCGGTGAGTTACATCATGATCGACAAGGAGATCCGCGAGGCCACCTCGACCCTGCCCGAGGGCGAGCCCACGTTCAACGCGCTCCTGCGGGCCTGCGTGCTGGGCTGCAACGCGTTCTTCCAGGTGCCCGACGGCGTGAACAAGACCAAGCTCAACATCGACCACCTCGACGTCGAAGAGTGGGACAACACCAGCGGTGCGCTCCTGCGCTTCTACGAAAAGAATCCGACGCTGGGCATGAAGCGACGAGACGACGCCTTCTGCAGCGAAATCGTACGTCGCGCGACCCAACACCGCCCGCTCACATGCCACGCACAACCACATTTGTCCGCTTACACTCCCAATGGCGTTTGTACTTGCGCACTACACACAGATGCGTAATGCGTGGGAGAAGGTGGCCGATGACTTGAACGACTGCCACGTGAGCGTTCACCGGTGGGCGAAGGGTCCGCACGTCGGTGGAGAAGATGAGGTTTGTTGTGATTTCCCCCCCACCAACAACTTCAACTCGTATGCGTTGTGCCTGAGCGTGGTCACTCAACCCAATCGGCAATTTCATGACCGCCACACGCAGACGAAGGCCGGTTTTCTGGCGGTGTTGACCGGTCCGCTCGAGGTGGTACTGCAGCACTGCAGCACGCACATGCTGCTGGGGCAGAGCAAGAAGCTCGACAACACCAGCAAAAAGGAGATCCGAGAGCAGGCGATGATCCTCCAAGGTACGCACATCGCCTTTCACTGTCTTTTCTATTTATTCATGCAAATATTTTTATTTATTTATTGGGCGCCAAGCAAAAACGACGATCTCACGTGCACTCATATTGGCCTTTTGACGTGCAGGCTACGGTGAGGTCGTGGTGGCCTTCGCGCAGCTGCCGCTCAATAGCAGAGACTACCCGCACGACTTTGAATTCGACTTTTACACGCCCAACTTCCCCCTGGTGCGTCGTCTCTCGCTCGAGCGCGCACCTTCACTCGCGTGATTGCTCAACGAACATCTTCTTTCGTTCGATCGATCGATTCGCGAATCAACAGAAAGAGCTGTGTTTCCTCGGCCTGGTGTCGATGGGGTCGCGCGTCTACAAGACCATCCCGTCCGCGATTGAACGCTGCAAGCTCGCCAATATTCGAATCATCATGGTCTCCCAGGTACAGCCTCCCCTGCGCGCCGCAAGCCCTGGCAGCCGACCACTCCTCCAAACAACCGCCAAACGCAAACGAACCACCGCACACGCACCAGGACTCCGCCCCGGCGGTGAAGGTGATGGCACGGAAGATGGGTCTCATTACCAAGGAGACGCCAGAGGATATTGCCAAGAAGGAGGGGGTGATGGTCGACGAACTGAACCCGGAGAAGCTGGAGCAGGCCAAGGCGATCGTGCTCGACGGCAGCCAGATGGCGCTCATGATGGAGGAGGGCCTCTCGCACATCATGAGAACCCACGACGAAGTCGTCATCTCTGGGTACGCGTGTTCCCTCCCCACTCTTTGCCCTCTGCAATTCGAGCATCTCTCGACTCACGCATCGCTTTCTTCTCTCTTTCTTTTGTCACTCTTCCAAGAACGGACGCGAGCCAGAAGCTCAAGATCGTCAGAGCGGCCCAGATGATGAGAAAGTCGGAGGTACGCGCGGGCGGCACCAGCCAGCAGGCCAGCAGTTGGCCGCAATGGAAAAGACACTAACCCCATCTGTTCTGGACAGGTGGTGGTCGCCACCGGCGCGCAGTTGGCCGACTGCGCCGGCCTGGCCGTGGCCGACGTCGGCATCGCCGCACCGGTACTGCCTCCACTGCGAGGGCTGCTTTGCGTTGTGTTGTTGTGGGACTCACACACGGTTCGACTTTGCCGTTCGCGTTTCACAGGGGAGCGTCGAGGGTGTGCAACAGGCGGCGGATGCGATCATGACGGGCGGGGCGCTGGACTCAATTCTCGACGCCGTCGAGTTTGTGAGGAAGAAGGGCGAGGGCGGTGGCTGTACTCTACAGTGATGATGCTGATGGCACAAACAAAGTTCTCACTGGACCACCGCACAAAATCAAACCTCAATGTCCCTTGTTCACCACAAGAAAAGGTGGGGGAAGAGGTGGTGGGCCAATGTTGGTCCAACCGTTATGCCGCCGACCAACCACAGCTCACGGTGGCCCAGACTTTTCTGCCGCCAATCTTTTGCCCGACAAAGCAGACTTTTGCCTGGTTTTAGTGGTCGACGAAAATCGATCATTGGTTAGGAGAGTAATTTGTCACTTTCATTAAAATTAAATCGGACCTCTGCCGCCAACACAAAGCGGCGGCTTGCTCTTTCAATCTTCAGACTTCCCTCACACAGCCATGCGTTCCTTCCTCATCTGCGTCGTCCTCGCTCTCGCGATCGCTTGCGCTGCTGCCCAGCAGACCAGGCCCAAGCTCTCCGAGACTTTCGAGTCCAAGGGCTTCGTGCAGATCAAGAACAACGGCACCCTCTTCTTCGGCGAGGGTATGTACCTGCTTCCGCCCATGATCTCCATCCATTTTATTATCTCTTTTCATTACCGCTCGTCTTTACCTCCGCAAAATCATCGATACCAAGTCTGACCGTTCCTCCATCTGTTAGGCTGGTACCACGTCTCGCAGCCCGACGGCAAGGCCCTTGAGGCCTTCGCTTTCGGTGGTGCTGAGCACCTCAACGTCTACGAGCTCCAGAGGTTCGACAAGGTGCGATTTCCTCATTCATTACGCATTCTTCATTCTACTTCCCCCCCAATCCTTGCCGGATTAATTGTTAATGCCCCATCGCAATTTTGATTTTGTTCGTGTAGGGTAAGGCTTTCGAGGTCATCCACGCTGGTCATGACAAGACCCCCATCTGCCACACCAAGTCCCTGACCGGCAAGATGCCCCAGCTCTGGGATTGGGTTGAGAAGGCCGACTACGTCCGCAACTTCACCGCCAACGGCTCCAAGTTCGATCTCTGGGGCTACAAGACCGCCGGTATCACCCTCGAGGTCGCCGTGCCCGTCGGCTACCCCAACATCCTCGCTTACTTCGGCCGCTTCTCCGCCGGAAACGAGTTCTCCTACTACATCGAGCAGTGGAAGACTGATAAGCCCCACAGCACCTGGTTCGAGATCCCCAAGGAGTGCCACCTCGGCCCCAAGTAAACTTAGTGACCAACAATCGTTCTGCCTTTAGTGGCACAAGACGTTGTCTCCATCAACTGTGCCAGTTTTTCTTTGTGGAAATGAATGGCCTGAATACACTTGCTCTTCTTGCACTTGTACTCATTTGAAATGAGGTCAAAAATGACTGGCGAAATTTTGGTGTGGTTAAAATCAGTTTGGGCCATCAGTTATAATGTATGATTTGTTGTAACGCAGGGATCAGTTGGCATGAACTAGAAAAATGATTTGGTTTTGGGAGACATGTGTAATGGAGGATCAAAATACAAGAGAGGCTTGTGCACAAGCCCCACACACAAAACATGGGGCTGTGGTCAGACTCACCAGCAAGGGCAACAACAGCCCCATCATCTGGATTCAGGTGTTGGACCAGTTCAAGGAGATCACACCCACTGGCTGATCCCATGTGGTCCAACCCCAACATGATGTTTGTGTGCACTGTGTGTTAGCATACACAGCAAAAAAGTGTAGAGATATAATGATTAAGTTGTAGAGTGGTAAACTGGTCATGGTTGCAGGTGCCATAGCTACCTGAGCAACAGTGATATTACATGATGTAATGATAGCAATGTGCTCTACATCCCATGTACAGCAAGAATCTCATCTCTACTTTCTGATGAATTGTACAAATTTATACTCAAGACCTGTGATGTATCCCCACTGCAAGGATTTGGATTCACACAAGATGTGTAAATCAACTATAATCTGGGGCATAAGCAATTAAGCAAAATTAATATTCTGATTGCACAGAAGTAGTGGGTGTGGATTTTTGTCCAAAACACATCAGGGTGGATGAAATTTTGTTTGTTTTTTTTTCCAAGTACTGGTGAGTCAGGCATGACTAAGCCCCTCCTCCTTGCACCTTGGTGCTGGTCCTTATCATTGCATGGAGCTCGGAACGTCGGAACACACTGTGTAACGCCGATATTGTCGTGCAGCTTTTGTGCAACACTCCATGCAACGCCCAACCGCCCAACAGGTCAGAATGTGGTCGATGATCAATCGTTACGCCAGGCTTACGTGAGTACGACGTCGAATTTCCTGGGCTTCTGTCAGGTCTCCGTAATTAATAGCCAATGACCGTCCTATCTCCTTCGTTATGTCGAAATTTCGAGTTATTCAGCTTTTCCGCCGGTGATCGCCCCGGGACTGGTGCCGCTATAAATTGTGGGAGTCCGCGCTTCAGCAAAGGGCAAAACGATTTCTCGTGAGCAGGCGAGTAAGCGACTACACCAACAACCACCCAACGTACGCAGCAATGGCGGAACCGCACCACAACACCAATATGTTCAGGCCTCCCTTCAACCCTTCGGCAGTCCTCGCACCGCCCGCGCACCCGACGCTCTCTGAGAATGCGCCCATCGATCAATTCATTCAGAGCGGCGCGGATGGATCGAGCTACTACCCGGGCTACGCGACCCCGTCCGAGCATGATTACTTCTCCCTGTTCGCCGAGTTCGCGATGGACTTGACCCCGCCCCCCAGCCTCAAGAGGTACTTGCTCGCCTCCTTTCGATTCAGAAAATTACTGTCGTGCAGCTACTTTGCCACAATGCTCATTGATTCAACTTATAACTCTTTCTCCATCCACAGCAACCAGCAGCAGCCTCCTCCCATGCTCGGCAAGACTGGCCTCGCGCCGACCTACTCAACCACGGCCGTGCCTCCCGATGCCCTCAACGCCAACCGCAAGAGGAAGAAGGATGGCGTCTCATCGAATGGCACGGGCACCGCCCCTACCAAGAAGGCCGCACAATCCGCGGCGGCCAAGAAGACCAAGAAGCAGCAGCAGGCGCAACTCGACCTCTCGGACGAGGAGGACGATCTCGACGTCGGCGCTGGTGACGGCACCCTTCCCGAGCGCGAGAGGCGTCTCCTCAAGAACCGCAAGGCCGCCCAGCAGTTCAGGAAGCGCCAAAAGAATCACATCCTCGAGCTCGAGGCGCGTGTGGAGACCCTCTCGACCGAGAACTCGACCCTCACCTCGCAGGTGGAGCTCCTGCACGCCGAGAACAAGCTCATCCGCGAGCAGCTCGACTACATGCGCAGCTTCGTCCTCAATGCGCTGCAGTTCACCTTCCCGCCAGGCGGCATGGGTGGCGGCATGGGTCCGATGGGGGCCATGGCCATGCACGATCTGCAGAAGAGCATGATCCCCCCGTCGGCACTCTCTCGCAGCGACTCGAGCGACAAGGATTCGAGCCGGCCATAGAGTCGATCGAGCTTCGTTCTTCTCTTCTCGATCTCTTCCTCTCCTCAAGGAGGCGATTCAACACAACGATCTTGCCTCTGCAATTTTCCTTCTACTCGGTGGATTCAACGACCTGCCGCGATGCCGCAAGTCGATTCCCGTTCTGCGGACCCTTGCGGAATCGAAGTGCGATCTCGAGATGCCATCTGAGTCGTTCGTCCTTTCGGGCGGCCTCCCGAATGAACCATCTGCATCACCTTCCCGAACGGGTTGTGTGGCAGTGGTCTCAAACATCAACTGCCGCCGCTGTACATAAATCTCTGTCAGTTGTATTAAAGCATCAAAATCCTACCATCTTTCCATCTCGCTTTCTTGCTTGCACACAAATGAAGAGAACAGCCACGATTGCACTGCTTCGTCCGCGAGCAGACAGAGTGTGGGCCAGTGCTCGCCAGACAATGTGCGGCACATCCAAGTCGGGCTGGTGGACAACAACGCGCAGCGTGTTCACGCACGCCCCACCAGCAGATGAAGCCGAAGGAAGTTTGGAGATGCAGCGACACAAGCCACCCGTACCCCTCCTCCGCCCACGCGAGGTCGTGGTGGCGTGCGTGCCGCTCAAGTCCAACGTCAACGTCTCCGCCATTGGTACCCCCCCCCCAATCACGTGAGTGACCTGCACCCAGAGCTGACGCCTGGGTGTGCGAGGGTGCAGCGCGAACGTGCTCGTGTTTGCAGGTGCGACAGTTGGTCTGCTGTGGCACGGCCAAGCTGCTCAACAAGGTGGCGCGCGATGCTGTGTTGCTTCAAGATAGTGCGAAGGATAACAAGAGCGGTGATGCCGAGGGCAGTGCGAGCTCGGGATCGTGGTTCAAGGTGGTGAACACGCTTCGACACCCACTCCTGCGCTTCAAGGAAGAGGGCTACGAGGTGGTGGGCCTTGAACAGACCGCAGCCTCGACGAGCCTCTACGACTTCCGGTTTGCCCGCAAGACGGTCCTCGTCATCGGGAGCGAGAACAAGGGCATCCCGCCCGACATACTTGCCGTGTGTGATCGAGGTGCGTGCCTTCTTCTTTCTCTTTCTATGCCCTTCGCGTGTTCTGACTGAGTTGTGGTGATGGCTCTGATGGTGTGCAGTGGTCGAGATACCACTCAACGGGCCGCCGCACAGCCTCAATGTGGCCAGCGCGGCCGCCATCGGCCTCTATGAGTACTGCAGACAGCACCCATCATGAGAAAAGAAGAAGAAGAAGAAGAGGCCACTACCATGTGTATGTACAGCAGTTTATATTCATGTCTTCTTGTTGTTCAAACATGAGACTCGCTTACTTGACGGTGGCCTTGGCGCGGATCTTGTTCTCCACGTCCTCCAGCGAGAGGTCATCCACGCCCGAGGCCTGCACCGGCAGGCTCATGCCGGCCCCCACTGGTCGATCAGGCCCTTGGCGCCCTTGGAGAACATGCTCGCCATCATGCGCTCCTTGGTCGACGTCGAGTCGGGCGCCCAGAGAAGGAACACCAGGCGCGTGCGCACGACGCTGTCAGAGTGCGCGCGCCACGGCACCTGGGCCACGGCCATGCGGCACTGGTCGCGCGGCAGGCTCGCCACCAGGCTCTCCCAGGTCGCGGGCACAGCACCAGCGTCAGCGGAGGAGTGTGGAGTCGTTGAAGAGGAGACGTCGATGGTGAAGGTGGACTGGGACCCGTCCACGAGCTTGAGGGTGCAGAAGGGCACGAAGAGGGGCGTCGACTCCGAGTCGGAGGAGGAAGCGTCGAAGTCGTACCGGCGGCTGACGGCGAGGACGGCCGAGTGCACATCTTCGGTGAGGCGGACAGCGCCAGTGCCAGAGACAATGGACATTCTTGAATGTGGGAAAGGGAGCGTAGGGTGCTGGCTTGAGAGTGGAGCTTGTTGTGAATGACCTTCAACAGTTTGCAAGCGGTGTATTTAAGGAGCCCACATTCAAGGAAGCCAGCCTCATCCCCAAGAGCTGAAGAGCAGTTCAACGAAGAAGGCGTTCTCGCTTTCACTCAATAGCGCTCCCGCAGATTGTACAGAAATTTATGTTCATTTTTTTATACAAGATTTACAGGGCAAAGGCGTCATCTACACGTCGCTGGCGAGATCATCGCAGACAGAGCGTGGTGCGCATCTGAGATTCCCACTGGGAGTAGAGCGCTTCGAAAATCGAAAAGTTGGCCTGCTTGTGATCGGCCGATTGAGGCTGGGCGAGGGCGTCCATCTTGCTGGCGCAGACGGGCGCGGAGGTTGGTCGCTTCCTCGACCGAAGACGTCCTTCGCCATCCCCGCCCTCGGTTCCGCGCTGCATGACCAGGCTGGGCCGCCGGACCAGCACTGGCTTGGCGCAATCATCCAGCCGATCATCGTGAGAGGATGAAGTGGCCGAAGTTGGCGGCTGTCGTTGGCCGGGCAGAAGGAGGGCCTTGAGGGCCTGGTAGGCCTCGCAGACCCTCCGGTACATCTCGTGGGCGAACTCGGGGTTCTCGTGGACGTTGAGCGGGTACCACTTGGCCGCCAGCGCCTCGTAGGCCGTCGTGACCTCCTGCAGCGACGCGTTGCTCCGCAGACCCAGCACCTTGAAGTAGTCCTCCTCGCGTGGCATTCTGTTCTGTTGTTGTTTCTGGCCGTTGCACTCTCACTTCAAGCTGAACACACTTGCTCTCTTCACTCAAAGAGACGATTGGGACGATGATGACGGCGGCGAGGGTGATGATGGCATGGCGCTTCGCCGATGCGAGCTCGTTTTGTGGTGGCGAGATGGCGTTCCGTTGGCTGGGTTTAGAAATATGGCGCTCCATTTCCCGCAGATGTCGCCGGTTGAGCCTCTTGGCTCCGCCCCTCTCGAAATCTTCGTCGAACGTGGCCGAGCTCTGGTGGGAACGTCTGCCTCTTCTCCCCCTCGCCACGACCACGCCTCGTTCTTCTCTTGAATCCACTCCATCTTTTCGGGGATGATCGATTGGGGTTAAAAAAACACAGAATAGTTAATTAATAATTAAATATTTTGGCGCGAAAGAAAAATAAACACAAAAAGATGGAAGGGAGAGGGATGAGGGACTTGCGGACGATGGAGGCCGCCATGTGGGCTCTGTGGGCAAGGGCCGGGAGGGCATTGAAGAGCCAGAGCAGCAGAGGGGGTGGAGGGGGCATGACGGAGGCGGTACGCTGTCTGATGGCCATCAGCAAGGGAGCGGCCCCCCCTCTTGTCGGCCCGGCCGGGTCTCGAGGTGACGCTGAGGCTCGAGATTGCCCACCTTCTCATTGCCTACCCTCATCCTCACGCCCTTCCACATGCCAAGGCCCATCTTGACCGCGCTGTACGTCAAATTCTTCTTTTTTTTTAACGAAGGATGGAGATGAAGAAAGATTTGAGGGGATGCTGACCTGAGCCCTTGGTTGTGTTTGTTGGCAGTTGCTGCTCATGCGCGAGGTTCGTCCACAACGCACTCACACCACGCGCTGGCACCGCACACGTTGATGGATGCTGATCGACCGAGGCACACAAACGTTTGTGTGCTGGCTACCTAGGGCTGTGCAGGACCCGAGGAAGAGGTGCGAGCGCTGCGGCACGTGGCCATTGTGTCCCAGCGGAAGGCCACCACGGGCGATGCACACGTCAACCGTAACGCCGCCAAGCACACCCTCCACCTTGCCCTCGACGTCGCCGAACGGTATGTATACATACTCGCTATTGCGCGTCATCGCCACCGTCTCGTCGTCGCTGTGGCGCATGGCTGCAATGTTAACACATCATCATCCACCATCGCCAGGGTGGGTCTCGAGTGGCGATTATACTTCCTGCTGGAGCTGGCCAAGCTGGCGTGGGAGGAGCACAACCTCGCCCAGGCGCTCAAATACATTGCCCAGGCCAAGCAAATCGCCACGCAGGCCGACCAGCCACACTTTCTCGTACCGACACCTCCACCGACCCCACCCGTTCCTCCTCTCACTGACATTTATTCATCTGACCATATTTTTATATTTCTTTTTGGAATTATCATTCTACGTGGTGGCCAGGCCCTCTTCATTTTGGTGGAAACGTACCTGGCGTTTGCTCGACGAGACATCGGCGCCGTGGTGCAGCACCTGCAACAGTATAAACAGACGCACGACGCCTTCGCCCAAGGCCAGGTTCAGCCCCCGCACCTCCAATCTCAATCTCTGTTGCGTTGGTGTGTGTGTGTTGTGTCACTGCTGACGCTGGCGTCGGTGAAGAATGAAACGTGGGTGAGCCTACAGGTGATGTACGACATCCTCTCGCTCGAGCACTGCTTTGTCGAGGGCGACGTGCCCCGGGCCAAGGCCCACGCCAAGAGCATCTGTGCATACGTTCAGGTAACAACCGCGCATGCGCCTGCCCTGTGGTGTGGCAATGCCGCGTCGCTCATGCGGGCTGGCACGGGCGGGCGGTGGCGATGGGCTTGGCTTGGCAGGGGGTCAACGCCAAGGGGGTGGTGGTGCGTTCGTTTTTCAAGTGGTGCGACGCCAGCATGCTGGGCGCCTACTACTACTACGCGGGCGGCGCCGTGGATCGCATCAGCGTGCCATCACGGGCCATAACCTTCTTCAAGGAAGGACGCAGCCGCATCGACGGTACGCGCTCACTCCCACCCCCACTCCCGCGGTTTCATCACCACACCAATGCGCACAGATGCCGCACGCGCGGTTGGCTCACGACTAACCACGTTTGTGTGCAGTTCTGCTGGGGAGGGACCGCATGTACACAGTGGGTACGACAACCCAACTCTCTCTCGAGAGCCGGCCGGCGTTGTACAAATGAAGGCTTGACCGCGTGCCGTGTGCCGTTGCGTGTGTGTGTCGTGCGTGTCGTGTGTGTGTCGTGTGTGTGTGACAGTGCTGCGGGACGGGCAAGCGATGATAGAGATTTTGAAAACGAAGGACCGGGAAGTGATGAGCCTCCTGCGCCTCAAGTTCGCCCTCCTCGAACAGCTCTTCCTCGCCCACCTCACCCAATCCGACTACGCCCAAGCCGTCCAGGTATCTAGCGGCCGGGGGGGGGACCACCTTCCGTTGGGCGCTCACGTAGGCGGTGGCGGTGGCGGTGGGGGTGTCAGGTGCTGTGGGACATGCTGGACATGAACTGCGCGTGGGCGGACAGAAACCCCGAATGGCCGTCGACGGCCCACTTACTCGCCGGGCACCTGGCCACCGTGTGTCTCCCCGAGCAGGCGGCCACCCACTACATCGTCGCGAGCCAGGTACTCTACACTACTGCACTACTAATTCTCTTTTCTTTCGCTGGCTCGCCCAGCGCCGTTTCTGTGTCGTATGCGCTGACCGGGTGGGCGCTCGGCCTCGTGGTCCGCGAATAACCGGCAGATACTGCAGCAGCAACAGCAATGGGACACTGCCGTCATCGCCGACCTGTTCGCCTGCCTCGCGCTTCTGCGAGCCTCCGCTTTCAAGAAGGCACTCGCACACGCACCTCTCTATTCAACGTCGTCTGCGTTGCGTGTGTGCCGCGTCTGTGTGCGACGCCTGAAAGCGCTCGCACGCGGCTGACGCGTCTGCCCCCATCATTACTGCCAGGTGGACGAAGGGCTGCGCAAGTGTTGGAAGAAAGTCGAGGCGAGCCCTCGCCCGGTGCAAGCCTTCGGGCTGCTCGTCCGCGGGCTTCTCAACCTCCACTCCTCCCAATCCGCCTCAGCCAGGTCTCTCACCCTCTCCCATCGCACACGCCGCACACGCGCACACGCATCGCACCGCACACGCCGCACGCACCGCACACGCACACGAGTCTCATCCCCCCCCCCTTTACGATGGCAGGGAGGTGCTGGCGCGCGTGCTGAAGCTCGGACTGGAGAACCCGCAGATGACGGCGCAGGTCTACAACGCCATCGCGGAGAGCATCCTGCAGGACACGAAGAACGTGGGCGCCGCTCGTCAGTCGCTGCAGCTGGCCCACAAGTCCTCCAGCGCCCTCCGCGACCTGCCCTCGCTCATCACCGCGCTCCGCCTCAGCAATCGTACGCTACATTGGCTGTTGACGCACACGCACACGCACACGCACACACGCACCACCGCACACGCACACGCACAACACAATGGGCTGACATGGGTGGTGTGCTGACACGTCATTGCGTCAGATGTGTGCGCACACGCGATGGCGGCGGGCGGCGGCGACGCCGTGGAGCAGGAGCAGCGGGCCGTGGCCGGGCAGCTGCGGCAGGCCAACGCCGACTTCGCCGGTCGGGTGCGCGACGCCGTGAGCCTCCCACAATCCGTCCTCATCACGCGCCTTCTCGAGCCGCCATCCTAGTTGATCCCCCAACACCACTCCATCGATGAACCCACAAACAACAACGAAAGGTTCGTTCATGGAGTACTGGTCGCCGTTCAACCACGTGGGGCAGACAACACGAAACTCGGATCCAAGTCCTTTCGTTGGTTTCAAAAAAAAACTCCTCCGCGCATGTTGCAACAGCAGCCGGTGCACGTCACGATCCCCCGCGCGGCACAATGCGCACCACGTCGTCGACGCACTGGCGCACTGAGTATTGTGAGGGTTGGAAGAGACACTGGGGTCCTTCATGTGCTGTACCCTGGGATGCAAACAAAACTGCCCACATCTTGGAAGGTGTGTTTGATGAAGTTGGTGAACTTGTATCCAGGGGTTATCTGCTCTTGGTTGCTGTGTTCCATCACACTGACAGGTGCTTGGGATTGGTGTGCGCCTTGGAGTGCCTGCTGGACATTCAATCCTGTCACACACCATGGAGACATCTTGGACAGGCAATGAGAACAACCAACTGAACGGTTCAGCCAAGATGCTCATTTGTAGTTCTTCAAATGGAGTGCATTGCAGGGTGGAGGTAGTGGTTGGGGAGCTGGTAGGGCAGGCTGAATCATAGGGATACCGATGGACAATACAGCAGGAACATAGGAAAAAGAAGACTGATTATTCATGGACTGGTTTTAATATTTATCATTTTGAAATGTTACAATGGAACATCCCAAAAGAAAACAAAATTAAAACCGAGAGGTGATATTGCCGTCGGTTTGTATAGAAAGCGTGTGTTGTGTCGTGCAGGCTTTTGTACGTGGACTTGTGCGTGTCCCACACGCTGGCCGGATCGCGTTCCAGTGCCCGGGCAGCTAACCAGGTGCTGCTGCTCAAGCCTTTTTTGTAACAGGGGTCCCCATTGGCGTTAGCGCTGCTGAGTAAACAGAAATGACGCCAACGAAGGCAAGAAAAGGAACACATTGGTAACGATTGTTACCAAGCGGCGGGGGTGTAATCGAACAGAGGACCAAACTCTTTTCACAACAACTACCAACCAGCCTCCCAGCGATGTCGTCTCCTGACCCTAACCCACTCAGTCTGGGCCTCCACTTCCAACTGCTCAAGAGGGCTGGCTCGCTCATCTCCTCGCTAGATGAGCTGCGTAACGACCTGTCGGAAGTCGCCGAGCTCTCCTTCCCGCAGATCATCGTCGTCGGCCAGGAAAGCTCGGGCAAGAGCTCCGTTCTCGAGCGTATCGCCATGCTCAAGTTCTTCCCTCGCTCCGACAAGATGTGCACGCGCATGCCCATCAAGCTCCAGCTCAAGCACATGAGCCCAACCGACATGACGAGGTTCTGCGAAGACCACGAGGAGGCCTATCGCGACGGTGTGGCGTTTGTGCGGGCCAGGATGGAGTACGCCGACAGGAGCACCAGCAGTTGGTCTGTCTTCTTGCCCGTCGAGGCCGTGGAGAAACTGGTGCGCGATACCATGGAACAAGCAGTACAGGCCAGGAACGCCACGCTGGCAGGCACGTTCACCCTCTGCTGAGTTACCTGATTTGAGTTAGTTTGGTTAGATTAGATAGTTTAGTGGACTTATTTTGGCTCGGGGGGGGGCAAACCAGGCGTGATCGAGGACGTGGTGGTGGTGGAGGTGACATCGAGCAGGGTGCCCAACCTCACCCTCATCGACCTGCCCGGAACCTGTGAAGTCGCGCGTGCGGGCGAGCCGGAGAACATCAAGGAGAGCACGGAGTCGCTGGTGGAAAAGTACCTCAAACAGGACCACACCCTCGTGCTCTTGGTGATGTCTGCGTGCGACCGCATGCACAACTACCGCCCCCTGACGGTCGTCAAGAAACACCATAAGCTGGGCAACACCATCGGCGTCCTCACCAAGTCCGACCTGGCCGAGAACAGCCGCTACGAGCACGACAAGTTCTACGAGTTCAAGCGGCAGCTCAACGGTCAGTCGGAGGACTACATACCGCTGGCCAACGGCTACGTGGCCGTGCGCAACCGCGACACCCAGGGCACCAGGGGCTACTCGCTCGAGCAGGCCGCGATCGAAGAGGTCGAGTGGTTCAACCGAAACCTGCCGGGCTACGTGGACAAGAAGCTGGCGTCGAGCCTGGTGCTGGTGGAGAAGCTGGTCGAGATGATGTGCACCTACGTCGAGAGCACCTGGGCCACGCAGGCCAAGCTCGCCATCAACGCACGCATCGACAAGCTCAAGCGCGACCTCGACGGCCTGGGGCCGGTTCGCACCGCCGACCAGCTGCCGCAGCTCTTGCAGGACGTCAGCCAGTTCTTCTCCACCCACGGCGTTGAGTTCGAGGCCGTCTTTGCCGCCCTGGCAAAGGTGGCCGTGCAGCCAGTGGCGTCTCTCCGGTCGACCCAAGCGCGAGGCCAGTCCTACCCCTACCACGCGAGTGAGGTCAAGGCTCGCTGTCTTAACAGTGCGGTGAAGGTGCTGCAGGAGGCGACGTTCGTGGCCGCGGCGGTCAAGCGGCTGCTCGATGCAGCCAAGCAGCTACGTGTGACCAAGCTCGCCCGTTTCAAGTGCTTCTTCGACACCCTCGAGGCAGTCATTACCTCCCAGTTTAGTGCGCGCGCGCAGGCCGCCGAGGAGCAACTGGTGAGGAAGGCGGGCGTCCTGTTCATCATCTTCGACAGCAACCCCGAGCTTCAGCAGCCCAGCACCGGCTGGGACACGGATCTTCAGGCTCGCGTTGTGGCGCTGCTAACGACTATCATCCACGAGGAGGTGTTCCTCCCCCTCGAAGCGGCCATGTGCGCGCTGTCGGCCGAGCTCATCGATGCCATGGTCACCAGGCTTGGTGGTGTCACGGGGACCTCCGACGTCGCACAGGTCAAGGCGCAGCTGATCGCCGAAGCCGCAGCGGTGGCTGACAAGCGAATGAAGTGGGACGTCGAGAGCAGGAACCTTCACAACGCCCTCGCTTCCATAGCCTCCCTCCAAGGAGGAAAGAGCTAAGTCTGTTGATGGAGTCACCACTTTTCTCCGCTTTCCGGCTAATAGATGTTTGCACCTGAATGTTGACGCGATCGTTGCGCTTGGAGTTGTTCGCGAGCCAATCGATCAGCCCGGCGTCGACGGTGCCCTGCTGTCCGATGCGCTTGAAGAACGACGAGGCGAGGATCGCGTGCCAACGAGCTGCTGGGCGAGTTGCCGCTTGGGCTCGTAGTGGAGCTCGTCAGAGGTCTCGTGTCGTGTGCCTGGACGTCGGTCGTCACGTGGATCTGATGCACGAAACTTGGCCCAATTTGTGACCAGTTCACCTCCGTTGATGACTGATTGGGGGGGCGGTTGTGGGGTGAGGAAAAGGAGTGATCACAGAACCATCATGGTTTTCGCCCATTTTCCGGCGTCCAATCACCAGGCCACTAACCTGTTCGTTGAAAGACCTCCTATTGGTTGGTGGGATTTAAAACACACGTTCCCACAGGCTCCATTCCTGCCCAGTGCACTCTAACCCACCACCACTACCAAGCCGCCTCCGAGCCCAGAACGATGAGATCAGTCTTCACCCTGCTCGCCGCCGCACTCTTCATCGTGGCCTTCGTGCTGGCCAGCACGGCCAGCGCCAACGACAAGGACGTCACGATCGTGGGCTCCTCCTCGGCCGTGGCGGGCACCTACATTGGCGAGCCCACCGTCTCACAGGTCGACACCACGGCCACGGCGGTCACCACCCCGGCGGTGGTGGTCACTGCGCCCGTCACCACCACCAAGTCCTCCGGGCTCGTGGGCAACAGCAACGGAGCCCTGCTCTACATCTCGACCGACTCGTCAGCCGCTGCCGGCCTGTCGCCCTTCTTCTTTTCCCTCTTCTTCTAAAGCGCGATACCACCTTCAATACAATCACTCTTCTGCAATTCTTGCTTAAATGCATGTGTGCGTTGTTATCGCCTTTTGAGGCGGAAGAAGAAATGGTGGTGGATGGTGGCACAACGACTGTCTTGTACAAAGAGTTGAGGGTGGTGGTATGGGGGTGGGACGTTGGGGCATGCCAAGGCCTGCAGCGCGCTTACATGTTGTCCTCGGCCTGCTCGCCAGCACCTCCGCCCGCGGCCAACACAGCCTTGCCTGTAATCACACATTCCACATATCGCCCACCAATTAGTGTGTGCGTGTGTCGTGTGTGTGTCGTGTGTGTGTGTTGCGTGCGGTAGTTACCCTTCTTGCCCTGGGTCTTGGTGTCGTAGAGTTGTTTGTACATGGACCGGAGGAGGGCGTAGGGGAGGCAGGCCTCGAGCACCTCCTGCGTGACAAACGGCGAGTCCTCCACGAACTTGTCCATGAATATGAGCACCGACGGCAGGCTCTGCACCACCTTCTCCACCTGCCTGGGCGGCTGCTGGGCCTGCTTCAGTAGAATACACCTGTGTGTGTGTGTGTGCGCGTGTGCGGGGTCAGCGAGGGAACGAAGCAAACAGAGAGTGAAGAGACATACGAGGCGGCTTCAATGAACTTCTTGGTCAGGTCGATGATCTCTCGTTCGTTGTCGCTGGTCGACGTCGCTCTGGTGGCGACGAGCAGCGCGTTGATGGCCAGCGAGAGCGTGTGCACGTTGTTGGCGTGGCCCTCGATGGCCGGGTGGAAGATGGCCTCGGACCACGTCTTCGACGACACGAACGCGGCGGCGTAGATGATCGGCAGCAGCAACCACAGCTCCCTGCCAACCAAACGTCACCACCCACCACCACCACCCGGGTCAGAACGCTGACCAAACGTAGGCGGAGAGGATGGGGGAGGGGGGACACGCACTTGTCCTGCTCGCCGATGACCTTGCAGAGGACGGCCTTGAGGGCCTGGTCGGCCGAGCCCAGGTCGAGACCGAGGGTCATCGCCAGCGAGTCCAGCTCCAGGTACTCCGGCTTCATGAACGTGTTTCGCGGATACTAGAATATAACACACGCCAACCAAACAATCATTAGAACACACCGCACACCGCACACGCACACACGCACACACACCACACCGCACCGCACACACGAGACGCACCTGGTCGAAAATGTTGTCGACAGCGTGGGCGAGGAAGGGCATGTCCTTGTCGGCGACGGAGCGCTGGGCCTCGAGCAGCAGCTGCCTGAACTGCAGGGCGTTGCCGATGGCGATCGACCGGTTGATGAAGGTGTCGACCTCCCGGAGGGCCTTGAGGTGGACCGTGACGTCCTTGCTGTAGTTGGCGTTGATGTCGGAGAGCGTCTTGCGGTTGAGGGCGAGCACCTCCTTGATGGGCGCAATGTTGGAGGCGACAAACTTCATCGTCTCGCGGTGGATGGCCCGCACGCCGTAGGGACCCACCAGCCGCACGAGCGCCTGCAGCTCGGCCAGGTCGGCGTACTCCTCCGGACGGAAGGGCAGCACCGCCCGCACGTCCGCACGAGAAATGAACGCTTTCCTATCATCCCGTAAAAAGAAAAGAAAAAGAAAACACAAATCGGTGAGAAAAATAATGAATAATGAATAATGAATAATGAATAAATACAAATAATATAAATAATATAAAATAATAACAGGCGAGTACCGGTTGAGCGAGTAGCAGAGGCCGGGCGTGGTGAGGCGCTTGGACACGAAATCAGAGTACCACTTGGTGAGGACCTTGCCGAGGTCGGCATCCTCGCGCCACACGAGCTCGCTGTCCACCGTGAAATCGACCTTGTTGATGTCCGACATGCCGTTGTTGTACACCTGTACACGTTACATACGTAAAACCGTTTCGTGGTGGCTTAGTTGGTGAAGCTGGCCACAAGGCCACACACGGCATGTGTGTGTGTGTGTGTGTGTGGTGACTTCGTGCGAGTTACTTACCTGGCCGAGCACGAACTGCCTCAGCGAGCCGGTGATGTCCATGGACACGTAGTTCTCCAGCAGACGAACGGTGAAGGTGAAGAGCTGCAGCCTGTTCTCCTGTTAATTTGACGAAGCAAAGGTAAGCAACCAACAATCAATCCACGCGTGTGTCGTGAGTGTGTGTCGTTGGTCGTGTCGTGTGTTGCGTGTGGCAGTGACGGTGTACCAGGACGGAGGGACGCTGGACGATAAAATTCTGCTCGTCAAGGAGGACCGCCTTCTTGACAAATCGGCGGAGCACCTCGACGAGCTTATCGCGCAGGTACTCGCGCGGGGTGAAGGCCGTGTCGTAGATGGTGATGTCGATCACCTCGTGCATGGCCGCGCAGAGCTGCTGCACGTTGCGCTCGTAAAGGCGCAGGTTGTCGAGCTCCTTCCTGTTCTTGTACTGCGACTCGGTACCGGGCGTGGTGGGTGGCACGTAGTTCTTGTCGAACTTGAAGTCCTTCAGCCTCGCGAGCAGCGGGTGGGCACCGTTGACGTGGTTCAGCTGGCTGTTGAAGATCATGTTATGCTTGCCTGCAAATGGGAAGAAAACACGAATCAGCGCACTGGTCGCGGTAGACCACTCCACCCACACACCCACACGCACACACCCACACGCACACACCCACACCCACACGCACACACACACACCCACACGCACACACACACACCCACCCACACGCACACACGCACACACGCACACACGCACAGTACCGATCTCGAACACGATGGAGGCGACGCGGTGGGTGATCTTGTTGAGCATGTCCTCGGCCAGCTTGACGGAAACGGAGCCGATGATCTCCCGCTCCTTGGGATACCAGCCCGTGGCGTTCTCGGGGAACTCGGACAGGAGGTGGAGGAAGGCCATGCAGTTGAGCGGGTTGGCGGGGCCGTCGATGATGGACTTGTCGAACACCTGGACCAGGCTCTCGCGGTAGTACCACAGCGCCTTGAGCGAGGCGTGCAGGTCGATCTGCTCCTCGATCTCGTCCACGTTGCGCGTGTGCAGGCAGATGATTCTGCCCCGGTGGACGAGCTCCTTGACTGCGGACGGGTTGATCGTGGACGACGCCACCGACAGAGTGGCCTCCACGCGAGCCCAGTTGAGACGGAGCGAGTCAAAGTTGTACTCGGTGCCTACAAGCGACACATGTAAGCCATCTTGATTCGTGTGCGTGTGCGTGTGCGTGTGCGTGTGCGTGTGCGTGTGCGTGTGCGTGTGCGTGTGCGTGTGCGTGTGCGTGTGCGTGTGCGTGTGCGTGTGCGTGTGCGTGTGCGTGTGCGTGTGCGTGTGGGCGCACCAGCCATGAAGGACTCCACGGAGATCGACTGCAGGTCGTTCAGGATGGACTTGAGGATGGGCAAGATGGGGGCGTGGGCGGGGATGGTGCGAATCTGGTCCTCGAGCGCCTTGCGATCGGCCTCGTGGAGGTACTCGAGGTAGTAGGCCTGCATGATGCGCTGGTGCTGCCTCACCAGGGCCGACATCTGGTTGATGAGGTGGAGCAGCTCGGAGATGTGCTGGTCGCGCAGGGCGTCCTCGTTGAACTTGTCCTTCTTCGGCGGCGGCGCGTTGATGTGTCGGAAGTACCAGAACACCTCGGCCTTGGCGGCAGACAGCGCGCTCCACACGACGATCGCCTTCGGGCCCAGGAGGCCCGGGAAGTCCTTGAGCAGACCCAGCAAGCTGCGCAGGCTCTGGCGAAGGTAGATGCGGAAGTTACGACGCTCTGCAAAAACGAAACGAAAACGAAAACGAAACACAAACGAAACACGTTAGTTCACATCATGACCCAAAAAACCTCCGCAGGCGCGCGCATACCGATCAAGCCGTGGCCGGCGGTGGCGGCCTGGAGGCCGTCGACGATGATCTTCTTCTCCTTGTTCAGCTTGAAGGTCTTGGACTTGAAGTTCTTCCAGGCGTCGGAGTAGAAGTTGTGGATCGGGATCGAGATGTTCCGGAAGACGGGCGCGCGGTAGGCCTGCGACAGGACGACGCGGCATAGGTCCAGGGCGCCGGGCATGGCCAACTCCTCGGGGCAGAAGAGCTGGCCGTAGACGACCCAGGCGTACATCTTCTCCTTGGAGAGCAGGTCGAGCTGGGTCATGTCCTGCGAGGGCAGGGCGAGCTTCTCCGGGTTGAGGGTGATGTTGAGGGTGCCCTCCTTGCGCAGCTGCTCGAGGTTGTTCAGCTTCGAGTACGAGGGCAGCAGCGACACCAGCGCCTGGCTCACGCGCTTGGTGAAGGGCTTGAAGTCCTCCCGCAGCTTCTTGAACGGATCGGCGTAGTTGGCCTAACATTACGTGGTCGAGAGAGAAGATGATGATGATGATGACAGCTGCATGTGAGCAACAACCACAGCTAACTTACTACAGTGATGAGGAAGGAGGAGCGTACCAGGTACTGAGCCACCTTGGGGAAGTTGGACTCGTTCTGCGACTTGACGACGTTGAAGGCGCGGGCGAAGCCGGCGGCGATGGTGCGTCGGTCGGCGATGAGGGACCACAGGAGGTTCACCTGGCAGTACATGGTAACCAGGTCCAAAAACTTCTCGGTCGTCACCGGGGTGTATGCCCACTAGTGATGAAGGAAGAGGAAGAAGAACACGACATCAAGGTTGGAGATGGCGATCAGCAGATCGCTCATAAGATGCCAAATCGGCGCATTTGTTGCGCGGCGTGTTTCAATTTAAAAAAACGCGCGATGGGGGGAGGGGGGAATACCGTAAGCTCGGCCGTGGCCGTGGAGATGTCGCTAAGAGTCTGCTGTGTAATCTTCACCCATTCCAATGCGTCAACGAAGGTGTCGAAGTCGGGCTCCAACTCCTCATAAATCTGCTTGGCCTTGCTCAAGAACACTTCGTAGCCGGGCGTCTAAGGGGGGGGAGGTCAATGCAAGATCAAAAAATAAAAGTAATTGCAAACCCTGGGCGTACCTTGTCGAGATCGGTAGGGATTTCGGGAAACTTCTTGCCGAAGGCAGCCACCACCTTGGCATAGACGGGATCCACGAGGAACGCGGGTCGGGTCTTGCTTTCGGGGGTGTACTTGATCTTGGTGTTGTACAATCGAATGAGGAATCCGCTCCCCGTTTCCAGCAGAATGGTCAGCTTCTCAGCGACCTTCGACATCTTGATTGATTATGTAATAATGGGTCCAAACAGGAACAGGTTCAAACAAAAAGAAATTATTTCAGCTTTAATTTCGTTAATCGAAATTGAAAGAATTCGGAGTATGTCACTTTGGCCAAGCCGAAGAACAGCACCTTGAGCACAACGGCAAGCCCAGCAATGTGTTGATCACCAAGTATAAGGTACCCGGGGTTGTTGTCACAACCAGTACCAACCTCTCTCCCGCCATCAGTACCTCCGCATTCGCTTCTCCTCGTTATCGTCTGAGACCCTCACTCGCTCGCTAGACAGGTGCGTCTCGCACACGCACGACATATACGCACCACTTGCGCATACATACAATGCACAGCCCTTGCATAGAGCAGCGTAGTAAGGGTGGTTTTATTGGTGGCTCGTCTGCTGTGGTAGGAGCTGCTCCACCTTGGCTTCGGTGGACGCGTGCAGGACCTGGCGAGCAATGGCCATTTCCTTGTCGATGATGCTCCTCAACTGAGTGAACGACAGCCGGAGAGCCAGTGAGTTCACACCAACACACACACACACACACACGAGAGAGAGGCATGCGACTACGTGCCTGTTGGTTCAGCTGTGCGTCCTCGACTTCCTGAAGGCTCGCCTTCTCGCTCCTGAGGAGGGCCCTGTGTTCAAGATGCCCGGTTCAACCAGGTGGTTGAGTTGCGCGGCAGACCGCAAACGATGGCGGGAAGAGAAGAGGAAAAGGGGGAGGGGGGAACGTACCTCACTTGTGTCAGGTAAGGCTGTTCGATGTTCTCCTGGTAGAAGAAGAGCTTGTCCAACCCGAGCTCCACGAACATCTGGCTGACAGATTTCAGCTGGTCGGGTTCGGCTACAGAGCCGGAGGAGGCCCGCGCCGCTTGAAGACCGTTCAAGACCGCATTGCTCAGCTCCTCAACTGTTGACACACAGCGCATGGCCATCAGCAAGCACGCGCGGCCGCGCGCAGTCGCCGGGGCAAGGCGAGACGGTCCAACGGGACGCACCAACGGGATCCACCACGAGCAACCGGAAGCTGTTGACGCCGGCCTCTTTGGTGGTGCGCAGCCGAAGGCTCTGGCAGTAGTGTCGATCCTGCAGCGGTCGAATGTGAGAAGACGTTGCAAACGAAGGAGTTGTCGTGCGTGTGTCGGACGTTTCGTGCGGTGGTGCGTGTGTTGGGTGTCGTGCGGGTGTGCGTGTGCGTACCAGGTAGGAAAAAATGCTGGTGATCCTCTTCAGCACCGTAGTGAACCTCCCCCACCGGGCAAGCACCTGAAGTCACCACAAGCCCACAAAAACAATGAGAATACAAGGTGTGTGTGGTGTGTGTGGTGTGTTGTGTCATCATCGCCAGGAAGGGGCTAGGGGGAGCGCACCTGTGGCACCAGGCGATCGGGCGGCAGCCCTCGCAGCTGCGGCGCAAGACGTTCCCGGCAGTAGCCGTCAACGAACTGGCCCACGCGCTTGTAGAGTTGGTCCACGACGCCTGCCTGGTGGCACTCGGCCTTCGTGCACACCGTGTACACCACCCTGCAGTGCAAAAATCATTTTATGTTAATAATTTAAAATAAAAATAATAAATGAGAGGGGGTTGCACTCACGAGTAGAGCTGGCTGTAGGTATGCGTGGGCAGCCGCTGGGAGGCGTCGCCGCTTTCCTCCGCACTAATGATTTGGTCGAGCGACGGCTGCAGCAGTGCCCACAATTCGGCAATGTCTTTGAAGTTTGTTGTGCCCTCCATGTGCCAAGGTGTGCGTATTGACGTTCTTCTTGCTGCTGCTGTTATTGTTCAGTGGTTTGGTGCAGGTTTTGGTGCGTTCTGTCCTTGTTTTTGTCCAGCAGTACTAAAAAATAGGGGCTCCATTTATTGGAAGAGAAGGGAAGAAGTCAGCGGCAGCAATCAGGAAGATGCTGGCTTGGCGGCGGGCGGGGGTGGCTGTGGGGCGGCGGCGGACGAGGAGGAGGCTTCGTAGGTGAGGGAGCGGCGCATGTAGAAGAGCAGGTAGGAGCCCTTGGATCGGGCGATCTGGTGGGGCTGGGTGGGGGTGATGGTGGCGTCGTCGCACTTGAACCACCGCGACTCGTGGCGCACGAAGCACACAAAGTGGCCGTTGTCGATCTTGCCCTTGTGGTCGACGACGGCGAACAGCTCGTAGAGATCGGGCGGGGCCGACGGGGGCTCGCGGCCGAGCCGCTGCGAGACAATGGTGGAGCTCGCGTAGGGCGACATGTCGAGCACGAACGGGTAGCGGATGTGGGTGTCGATCTTGGACGACGAGGCCGTGGAGGCCAGGCCCTCCTGCTTGAAGCGCTTGAGGTGGAAGCAGAGCACGAGCGGCAGCGACTGCATGGAGAGCTGCTTGGTGGAGTCCTGGTAGGTGTTGTTGCAGCCCTGGCACCGAAAGGCCTCCGCCGACCCCAGGCGCTCTGCTTG